TCAAAAGTCGGGTCCTAATGACCCACCCCAACGTCCGCTTTGTAATTTTCCAACCCTGTGACTCCGGGGTTAAAGAGCTGGAAGTGTATTTGTTTATTATATCCTTCCAATAAACAAGCATCGCTTCGCTGTAATTTTGTAGTGTCGTAGTCATATGCCTGAGTCAGTGGAATACAAATACAATTTGGCGAGCTGTTGCCCCGGCGGGGATTGAACCCGGGCTATTTGCAGTGCTGGCGCCGCGCCAGCGTCTTTCGTCTACGATTGTTTGACCTTATTTCTGTATATGTGCATACGGGTTGCTCATTTGCGAGTGGGTACTTTATTCAATATCTAACTTGAGGCACGGCAATGCAATATGTCCTTTGATTACAGTTTGTTTAAAAAAGCTAAAAATTAACTATCTAAGATCCACATAATAAAATAAAACGATATGTCTTACCAAGTTTGAAGATCACCTCCCACCCTTCCTCAATTGCGTGCACTATCTCAACACCACTACTCCCAACACCATTACACTAGGAAAGACACCACCGTCTATAATTAGACACATGTTTCGCCTATAAACGAGGCATCGTCAGATGAAATAGACTCGAGGTGTCCGACCTCTGAGTCAGTCTGTTTCACTAAAGGAGCTTCAAAACCAGCGTCACTGTCTTCGCAAAGTTTTATACCTGCTGTCACCTTTCATAAGTAACAACGTTTGTGTTAACTACGTAAGGATCCCGAGTTGGAGAGGGGGGGGGGGAAGGTTAAAACCCCGAAGATAAGGGCATGTTGAGATTTTAATATAAGAAATCTAGTTGCATTTATGGTACCGAATTTTTTTATATCACAATTTATTTTTTTAAATTTTTAAATCTTAAATGTGTCCATTTTATCCATTTTAAATGTTATAATAATTATAGTACATTCTTCTCGCGTATTAATCTAATCTAAATAAGAATTAATCTTATGTATCCTTACATGGGGCTACCCCCATGTAAGGATAGGGGTTAAAATCGCCAAAATCATCCTTAAGTAATTATTGAATGGCCCTTTATGAGAAGTTTTTAATATATAAAATATTTAGCTTGTTAACCTTTTTGTTACCAAGCAAACCATCAATGATGGATATACATTAAAATTATATTATTCATTTATGATCAAGGTCCACTGCTGAAGATAGGCCTTCACAAAGATTGCATGGCGTAGTGCCACTTGGAAAGCGGGTTGTTAACCGAAGATTTTACTATTTTGAATGCTTTAAGGAATACGCTGCTAGCCATCTTCTGTTTTAGCTACCTTCTGTCGCCTCACACGACACACGTATATATGTGGTAAAGCCATGCTGCAGTTGTATTATACGTGGTAGACCCATGTTCCAGTTATATTAGACGTGGTAGAACCATCCTGCAGCTATATTATACATGGTAGAGCCATGCTGCAGTTGTATTATACGTGGTAGAGCCATCCTGCAGTTATATTGTACGTGGTAGAGCCATGCTGCAGTTATATTGTACGTGGTAGAGCCAAGCTGCAGTTATATTATACGTGGTAGAGCCATGCTGCAGTTGTATTATACGTGGTAGAGCCATCCTGCAGTTATATTGTACGTGGTAGAGCCATGCTGCAGTTATATTATACGTAGCAGAGCCATGCTGCAGTTATATTGTACGTGGTAGAGCCATGAGGCCTGCAGCTATATTATACGTAGTAGAGCCATGCTTAATAGTGATAGAGCCACGCGGCAGCTTTGCTGTTGCACGTATGGGCCGGCTCAAACCGGGGTGGTACCACGACCTCACAGAATACCGGCGTGAAGTGGAAGCTCTGCTTCCGCGTTTCGTCTGGTGAGTGCAGGTGGCCGGATCCCCCCCCCCCATCAACATGGTAGCGGAAGTAAATGATGATAGATCACCCCAGGAGGGTACCAGCACCCCTGGAGAACCCCTGTCCGTGAATTTCTGCAATATCAGGGGACTTCATTCTAACCTAAACGCCGTCCACTACCATCTCGAGACGGCGAGGCCGGCTCTGCTCTTTCTGACCGAGATGCAGGTGTCCTCTCCGGCTGATGTCTCGTATCTCTCCTACCTAGTACAAACTGGAACACTCCTTTGTGCCTCGGACTGGAGTTTGCGTTTACGTCAGAGAGGACATCTGTTCTCGACGCCTTGGCAGACTTGAAGGTTCGGACCTGTCCATCCTTTGGCTACGCGTAGACAGCGACGACTATCCGCGCGTCTACGGGTGACTCTATTGGTCCCATAGCGTTGCCAAACAGACCGTCTCTTCGACCACGTCCAAATGGCTACAGATTCGTTGCTACAGCAGATCCCCTCCGCAGAGATCGTGATCCTCGGCGACTTTAACGCTTATCACGCCAAATGGCTTGGTTCACGTTTAACCGATCATGCGGGGAGATCTGTTCATGATTTTGCCTTGGCATATGGTCTGACACAACTGGTTACTTCGCTTACGCGGATTCCAGATGTGGAGGATCATGCACCTTCACTATTGGACCTTCTGCTGATCACTCACCCGGACGGATATCAGATTTCCGTCGACGCCCCTTTAGGCTCCTCGGACCATTATCTTGTCCGGAGTGTGGTGCCACTCACGCTGAAATCGCAGTTGCATTCTGCAGGCTGCCGCCGTGTTTGGACTATAGGTCAGTCGATTGGGATGGGATTGGGCGGTCTTTCTTTGCATCCTACCCTTGGGGGTGGGTTTGCTTCTCGCCGGACGATCCCAACGTTGTTGCGGATTCTGTCGCTGATGTGGTACTTCAGGGTATGGAATTTTTTATTCCTTCCTCTGTGGTGCTCATTGGAGGCCAATCTCAGCCGTACTCAGTAGTAGTCAGTAGTACGTCAGCAGTACGCCGCCGACCATCGCGCGGTGTGAGTGCTCCATGCCGGAAGCGCAGCTCACACAGCGCTCGGTTCGCAAAGCACTCCTCTCCCTGGACATCCACAAGTCGTGTGGGCCTGACGGAAACTCCCCAATTGTGCTAAGGACGTGTGCTCCAGAGTTGGCATCGGTTTTAACGCGTCTTTTCCGGTACTCCTACTCCCTAGGCGTAGTCCGAAAATCATGGAAGACGGATTTCATCCACCCGATCCCTAAAAAAGGCAACCGCTCAGACCAGTCCAACTACCGGCCTATTGCCGTCACCTCTTTGTTCTCCAAAACAATGGAGTCCATTGTAAACTGCCGGCTCATGAGGTACCTTGAGGACCACCAGCTGATTAGTGACCGCCAATACGGTTTTCGCCGTGGTTGGTCAGCTGGTGATCTTCTGGTCTACCTAAATCATAGATGGGAGGAGGCAGTAGAGTCCAAGGGGGAGGCATTGGCCGTTAGTTTGAAGATTGCGAAGGCCTTCGATCGGGTTTGGCACAAAGCGTTTCTTTCGAAGCTCCCTTCCTATGGGCTTCCCGAGAAATTTTCGATTGGATCACCAGCTTTCTTGCAGATCGGAGCATCAAGGTCGTTGTAGACCGTGCAAGCTCCGATTGGAAGCCTATTAAGGCTGGTGTTCCACAAGGCTGCGTGTTATCGCCAACGCTGTTTCTTCTGCATATCAATGATATGTTACAAACCCATAACATTCATTGCTATGCAGATGACAGCACTGGAGATGTTCTTTACACCGGCCGAGCCAACATTTCTCGGGAAAACGTCTCCGAGTGCCGGGACAAACTTGTGTCTGAAGTCGAGTCTTTGCTGAACAGAGTTTTGGATTGGGGGCGACTATCTGTCCAGTTTAACCCCCAGAAGACACAAGTTTGCGCGTTAACCGCTAAAAAGAACCCCTTTGTCGTATCTTCTCAGTTTCAAGGCACTCCCCTTGTTGCCTCAGCCAGTATCGGAATCCTCGGCGTCGACATATCCAGTGACGTGCAGTTTCGTGGTCACTTGGACGAGAAGGCCAAATTGGCCTCTAAAAAGCTTGGCGTGCTCAGCAGAGCGGGACAGTATTTCACGCCAGCACACCGCCTGCAACTTTTCAATACGTAGGTTCGGCCGCACATGGAATACCGTTCCCATCTCTAGGCTGGGGCTCCCCAGTACCAGCTTCTTCCACTTGACCGCATCCAGCGCAGAGCGGCTCAAATCGTCGACGACCGAGTGCTTTCCGATCGGCTCGATTCACTGGCACTGCGAAGGGATGTTGCATCTCTTTGCATTTCTTTCGTATATATCATGGAGAGTGCTCTGAGGAATTGTTCGGATTAATCCCAGCCGCCAAATTTCGTGAACGCACTACGCGGCAAACGTCCCGATACCATCCACACCATCTGGATGCTTGGCGGTCCACCATTGTACGTTTCAAAAGGATTTTCTTCCTACAACCTCTCTGTGGAATACTTTACCACCGGCGATTTTTCCGGACCGATACGACTTGGGGACCTTTAAGAAAAGAGCTTACTCCTTTCTAAAGGGCCGGCAATGCACCTGCAATTCCCCTGGTGTTGCGGTTGATCATGGGCAGCGGTAGTCACTTAACATCAGGTGAGCCGCATGCTCGTTTGCCCCCTCTTCTATAAAAAAAAATGCTGCAGTTATATTATACGTGGTAGAGCCATGCTGCAGTTATATTAGTAGTAAAGTTGCAGCACGAATGGGTCGGCTCCACCGGGGAAGGACCACGCTCTCACTGGATACTATAGTATATACCATAGTAACTTAATGCTGCTGTGTTTGTGTATTGTGAGTGTAGAGAACCGGAGGCCCTTTTTACTGAAAACGAGGCATTCTATCTTAGTCCTCACGGCTGACAACGCATCTGCATTTTGATTCGTAATCGAGGATAGATGTAGATGTCTATGAGCCACAGCAACTACTTACCATCAGGTGGACTGTGTGCTCGTTTGTCACCCTATCCTATAAAAAAAACCCACGGAATGATATGGGGTAATACATATAAAATTGTGATTAGGTCGATTTGACTGATCTCATATCATCGATTTTAGCATTTACCAATTTGACTTACACCTCTTTTTCTTTAACAGGATCCTGGTGGGTGCGCCAGAAGACGAGCCATACAGGATCAACGGGGTGACGCGGCCCGGTGCTGTGTACCGGTGTGAGCCGGGCCGCCGGCAAACGCAGCCCTCTCTCGACATGTGCTCTGTCATGGACTTTGACAAGAACAGGGGTGAGTAGCCTTGATATAAGTAATATAATAATGTCCTCCGGACCGATTTTCGGTCATGGAGGCCATGCTCAACTAAGACTAACCAACAGCGCAGGACAGGATTATAGTGCCCAAGTGTATGCGCAGGCACAGATGCACTCTCTATTCCTTCACTCTCATGATCTGATGAGACGGTAAACCGACACGACCGGAGAGAGATCAGGCGCAGGACCAACAGCTTAACGTGCTTTACGAGGCACGGGGTGAGACACCGCCAACTTCCTGACTCCGGGCAGCTACTGACAATTTCTTGACGGAAAAACTCAATAATTTATTTTTAATGCGACCCGGGATTCGAACCCAGGACCGCATGATCAACAGTCGCACTACTACAACCACTAGACCAACGAGACTGTAAGTAATACAATGGCACATACATCTATACTTTTAAATAAAATGGACGTGTCTGTCTGGAATATTGAAATAACAGACTCCTATTAAGCTCAGGGTGCCACTTGCTAAAAAGACATAAGCAACCATTTAAAAAAAAGTATGTCAGTCTGTTTATTTGGGCTAACCTTCAGAACAGCCTCCTGACAACTTGGCTATCCTTTTTATTTGTTTATTTATGTACACACAACAAGATACAGAAATAGCCTTATAGTAATTTCGTACAAATGTTCACTTATTCAATAATTTGCCGAAGTATCTTCCAGTAGACTCATAAAGGAAAATATATTACAATGGCAAACTTATTGCACACATCACTACTATTAATGAATAAATAATATACAAAATGTTACGTAAATTATATTAAATAATACTATAAAAACAATACATAAAAATAATAAGTGAGATAGTTTTACATATTATAATATATGTAAACTAATACTAATATAATAAAATAATATATTAATTAACAGGATGCAAAGAATTTCGTATATTAAACGGTAGTGAGTTCTCTTTCTTGAAAAATACTTTAAATGTTTTTATTTTAATTTCCATAAATCTAAATATCGCCACATTAATAGGTCCTATCCAGGCAAATCTGGGGCGGGTCAAACATATAATTTAAATTTTAAAATACAGTTTTGTGGTAGAGATTCATTAAAATTTTGACCTATCAACTCCACCATGACCAGTCCTATGAGATGTACGATCTACTGCAGTGAGGTAACGCAGAATTTGTACACCCCGGAGGGCTAAATAAATTGTTTAGTTTTCTTATTAGAATTGAGGGTGACAAACGAGCACACAGTTCACCAGATAGTAAGTGGTTAGATGTGTTAGTTGTCTATGACACCTACGTTTAACACCGATTAAGAATTAAAATTCTCACGCCTAGATTTAGGATTTAATGCCTCCTTACCGGCAAAACCGGTCTCTTGTCGCTACACTTAAAGCATACTTTACTTTAAATTTATATCTAAAGCTCTTTCTGAGTATTACAATCAACAAGCAATTGGTTTATAGAGAAATGGCCACTGTAACAATGTAACATGTATTACGCTGGTAAGGAGTTCTAGGAACTGGAATCAAACGCCTCTGTTCGAATATGCTTGCATCATTAATTTCCTGCCTGATGGATCAAAAGGCATACATTATGGCGTACATGGAGTTCTCTTGAGGCGAAACTACTTATAAATTGTCTTTTGAAATCATGGGAAGTCTTTATTGTTCTTTAAATGGGCATTATGAAATTGATTACTTTCAGGTGTTATATGTTCTGTTATTTTAAAATAATTAATATTTATTTTTAATAATCTTAATTGCCTGCTTTTCAAAGTTCAATCAAATTGGGTTTTGTTATGCATATTTTATCATCATCATCATCGTTACATTACAACTCTACACAAGTCTAGTATTATACTTTCAGTCCTGAGTCACCTGCATTCGTTGAGTTCCTGCACATCAATTTCATACTAAGTCGAGTACCTATAGATGTTACGACTAATGTTAGAGTAAGTGTAAAAGTTATATTAATAAACTTGTGATGAGACGGCTAAACTTAAGTTTTATTTTATTCATTTTTAAAACTAGGAGTAGCTAACTGTCAGTAAGCTTAATGTAAAAAAGGTGCGGTAACTTTCTTATGTATTATAATAAAAAAAATATATTTTTATTAATTAAATATGGTTTCTATCGTATAACGTTATAGACTGAAAATAATAAGAAACATTAACATAGCTTATGAATGAAAATGATATGCTAACAATTTGTATTTGTATGCTAAGTGCAACTAACATGTGCTTAAGTTGTGACGTGTGCCATCGGCGGAGGCACATGTCACATGCCCCCGTGTGATAGTCTCTGCGCACGCGCATTTGATTTACCGCGGGTAAAGAAAATATACACTACCGCGGGACCGCTCGCAGCGCCACCGTGCTTTGTTCTCCGTTCGGCAGAGCGGATAGACGGATGCAATATTTAATATGTCATGCAAAATAAAGGTCTGCGAAATGTTGGAACGTCTTTAGCCGCTACTAAATTGTATAGTTCATTGTAGGCGTGTTTCTTGTTTGCGATCTGAGTAATAAATTTTACCCGTTCTTTTATTATATTTTTGTCTTTAATGTAGGTCTTTTGTGTGCATAAAATTATGTTTTAATGAACATTTTATAACAATTTATTGTTATTTACGAAGAATAAAGTCGAATCTTAAGGAAAAAAGTTATTAGTTAGTCAGAAAGAAAGTCAACTCTCTTCTCTTAACTTTGAAGGATTTGCGATCACCGCTTTTTCAGGTGGAGGTTCTATTGAGGAAATAAATAAAGTGTTTTTTATTATCAGGCTATAATAGTCCACTATTTGGCACGGGGTTTAGTATGTGAGATTTGCTATAGTTACCACATTTAGAGGTTGGAATTGATGACTGCTGCTAGATGTTTCACATCTTGACATATGTATGAAATGACTGCCTCGTCACGTAAACTCGTTGGTCCCGATCTATCTCTGCTCGAGTAAGATTACCGTCCTAGATGATGATGATGATGATGATATTTAAATCGATCATTTTTATAATTTGAATCTTTTACGTGCGTTTTTTTGAAACTAAGTACGAATTAAGGCTTAAATTTTATTCCCAAATCTTATTTGTACAGTAAACCATGAATCACCTCTCGCAGTTGGGATTCCGTAAGTAATTTGGTGTCAGTGGTATTCGAGAGATCTCTTAATGGAGGGCAGCCTTAATTTTATGCAGCGCCAGAACGTATTAAGGATTACGTACTTAATGCACTGTAGAAAGGTTTTGTAAAATTTCATCGACATTTTTTAAATAATTGCTTTCGAAATTTTATTTTGTTTTAAAAATGAAAAAAAAAATGATCAGTCTAGTATAATCACAATAGAACATTTTGGACGCAGTGATACTGATCTTGTTGGAACTGCATAGCTGCTTGCACAAAAAAAAGACTACAGATTTTTGTAGGCAAATTTCATAATTATTAAAATAAATTCCCAATTTTTTTAACTATTTTTATGAGCAATTCAACATAGCATAACAGTAAAACTTTTATTGTTGTAAGAATAATGTCAAGCGAAAGCGTAAATTATGACCAAAAAATTTTATTGAGTAAGGAAATTTAATTGTTTGTTGGCGGTGTAAAAAGTACATTTTGTACATCGCGCAGGTATTTTAGATCGCGGTTCATCTTGAGTGTGCCAGAGACGTAAAAAATCACCAGATCCATCAACTGGCAAATCCGACCTGTAGTGTGAGAGGCTCATATGTAGCAGAACTTTGGACTTTTACGAAAAAACCAATAAAAATGTTAATATGTACGCTTTCCTATGGCTTAAGCGGCTTTATTTTGAAACACTTCTAGAGTGTCATAAGCTCAAAAGCCACAGTTTGTAGTAATATGAAGCTCGTAAAAACTTTAAAGGAACGTGTTCTGACTGCGCCGATGTTCTTCGATTTTTTAATAAATAACTTTCTTATTAGAATTATTTATAATATTCTAATTAGTTGTGCGTCTGTTAGTGACCGTGTAACTGGTGAATAACTTGACCGATTGATTATATTTTCATAATAATGAGACAGATGGCTGTTAATAAAGTTTTTGTTCCTTTTTTTTGAGCTGCTTATAAACTATATTTACGTACCAAAATGACTCATATTCGCATTTAATGTTAGCTTAGTGCCAAAAAATAGAACGAAAACATCTGAACCCTAGCACTGTTGTCGGGAAATGATTTTATACATTATAATTTCTGAAGGTGACTGACAACGCACCTAGTTGTCGTGTGTCACAAATTTTGGCATGGAACACTCATAATGTTGGTAAGGCGTAGTACATATAAGCAAATATGCGAGAAAATCCAGTATCATAAAAAAATTCCAAATTAACTACACAGTCATTAAATGTCATCGCCAAATAGAACAGAGTCATCGCCTTTACTCATGATTCATTTACATTATTTTCTGAAACGATATGAAGATATCGGTTGTTGAGATGCTGCACATTTGTTTTGGATGTGCTGAATGTAAATTAGAATGCTTATGCGTCAGACACTTGCGCAGTGAGAGTGGTCCCGGTGAAAGATAAACACTTGTGAATTTAAGAGCGTGTTCACATGTTGTAAACGAGTTTTGGTGCGTCTACATTAATATACATATTGTATTTATTTTGTTTAGATGTTTGGCGGGCTTGTTTTACAATATTAATTATATTAATTAATTATTTTTAAAGTATGGTATAATTTAACAGTGAACAAATGAAGGGTTTACGGCGTAATAATGTCAACTACCCCATATCGTTTCGTGGGTGTCGTAAGAGGCGACTGAGGGAAACAAGCTAAAAGAAGGGAACAGCGTCTTCCTCATAAAAATTACAAAAATCCTTTATATGAAGTAATCTGTGGGGAGACCTATGATCAGGCGTGGATTTTGATAGGTTGGTTATAATGATGGCGATAGTTAAAGTTAAGTTTCACTCCTTATACGTCCCACTGCTGGGCAGAGACCTTCCTTTTTTTATAGAATAAGTTGTCACCCCTGAGAACTAAGATGGAATGCC